AGCTTAATTTTGCCATTCAGTTAACTGAAAGCAGCATTTCTAAATGCCTTCACTATCATTTTAGTTGTTAAAAGCTTTCCTCAAAATGTCTAGATGAAACAGAATGTACAAGCACATAGTGATGGTCATTTGATTTGATTGCTCTCATTTCTTTTTTCTTTCTTTCTTTTGTTGTTTTCTAATTCAAAATAGTGAAACTAGGACAGGGCTGAATATATGCACAGAGAAATTCCAGGACCCAAATAAAAATGTTAGAAGCAGCTTATCTTACATCCCTTTACTTCAAATCAAATAGATTTCCATTTTCTCCCACTTTTCACTTCAGCAATTCTAACACTAATTGAGAAAAAATTGCTTTGAGGAAGAAATCAGTAGTATGTCTCCACTCTCTCACAGTTTTCACATAGCTCTCATATTACTCTCTCACCATACAATTAATTATCCTCAGAGGCTGGTTAATGAGCTACATGAGAAAATAATTTCATACGGTTAATAAATATTTATCTATTGTATTTAAATATACATGTATGTTGTTGTTGTTGTTGTGAAGTGCCATCAAGTCGGTTTTGACCCATAGTGACCCTCTATAGGGTTTCCAAGGAGCAGCTGGTGTGAGCTTGAACTGCCAACCTTGCAGTTCAAATGGCTTTGCAGTCTGGCACATTAACCCACAGAGCCACACCAGAACTCCATACTTAAGTATACAAAGATGTAATATAAATATATTTTAGTAAAATATATGAATATGCTGAAAATATAATTATATCATATATACAGTATAGTGGTGGTGACATGCCATGGTGTTGGGTCTAACTCATAGTAACTCTGCATAGGGTTTCTGAGGCTGTAACTTTTTATGGGAGTAGAAAGCCTCATCTTTCTCCCATGGAACCACTGGTAATTTCTAATTCTGACCTTGAGGTTAGCAGCTCAACTCATAATTACTATACTACCAGAGCTCCTTATATACATTATGGTGGTGGTGGTGTGCCGTGGAGTCAGTTCTGACTCACAGTGACCCTGCACAGGGTTTCTGAGGCTGTAAATCTTTATAGGAGCAGAAACCCTCATCTTTTTCATGCAGAACCGCTGGTAGTTTTGAACTGTTTAACCTTGAAGTTAGTAGCCTGACTTGTAACCACTATGCTACCAGAGCTTCTTTATATACATCACAGAATATAGTATTTATGATGGTAGCTTACAGTTATAATCTTCGTGTTCAGTAAGGTGACTTTCTGGATACTTTTAGGGAGCACTTTTAAGTTTTGGGGTCACCCAAACTTGGAAGGAATGCAACAGGATGATCACATTTCAATTCTCTGATTCCATGTGCCTATTTGTGATTTTAGATGTTTTGTGGGTAGATTAAGGAAAGAGAAGCATACCATTAATACAGGATAAAGGACACAGGTGTATGGAAAGAAATTGATTCATCAAAGCAGGAAAGAGTCCACTGTCAATCTTCCTAGAAGGACTCAGGGAAGAAAAGGAAAGAAAACACAAGTAACCATTCAAGAGTGGTAATGGAAAGTATGCCAATACAGTATGTTTACAATAGCTGAGACTACATGCAAAATTTGAAAGTACTATATATTCACTATGAGTCAGGATGGACTTTATGGCAATGGGCTTGTTGTTAAGTTTATTTAGTCATTCATTCAGGATATCTTTCTTAAACACCTAGTATATGTCCACACTACTGCTTGCAGTGATGCTGTGGTAGGAAACAAAACAGACAAACATTCATGGAGTTTACATTCTTGTGGAGAAAAGAAAACATTAAAAAGAAATAACTGAAGTATGTAATGAGTCCAACGGTATGGTGTGGATTGAATTGTGTTCCCTTGAAAAAAATTACTATACCTGTGAATGTGACCTTGTTTGGGGAAATATGTAGTCTTTATTTTAAGCATATCAAAAAAGAAAAAAATCAAGTCATCCAAGCAGGCTGGATTCTAATTCTAAACCCCTTCTGATGTCCCTTTATATAAGAGGAGAACCAACAAGAACACAGGGTAACGCACAGGGAACATAGCATGTGAGGGTCTGTCTATAAGTGAGAATTGGAAACAAACCAGGGAAAGTCATCTCCTAGCTCCAGCAGAGAGGGAGAGAGAGCATCATCCTGCTCACATCCTGAATTTCGATTACTCCACAGCTATGATGGAGCATAGTGGCTCCATAGGACAAGCACTACTGTGAAACACAAGTTTGGCTGTTTGAGCCCATCAGCTGCTCCGCACGAGAAAGATGAGGCTTCCTGCTCCCACAAAACTCTATACAGGGCCACTATGAGCAGAACAACTTGACAGCACTTAACAACAACAAAATCTGTGAAAAACGAAATTTTTGTTCTTTAGAGTTACCCACTTTGTGATGCTTTGTTGCGGTAGCCCTTTGTGAAGATGTAGGAAGCTGGGAAAGGGAATATGGAATGCTGTGAGGTTCATTTTCAAAGAGATGTACTCAGGAGAGTTTTCACAGTCTTGGTAACATATGAGAGTGGGCCTTAAAGGAGGTGATGGGTGAAGCCCTGTGATGCATATTTAGGGGGAAATTATTCTAGGCAAGTATATTTGGTAGATGAGCAAAAGCTAGGGCAATTTGAATAGCTGGTCTTGAAAACCTGATTTAAATATTTAATATTTAAATATCATGTTTTCAGTTTGACTGGCATCTAAGTAAATATTGAAGAAAAAAAAAAAAAAAAGTTGTGCTGCTCCTGTTTTGTTTATGTTCAAGTATAACTGTTACTGAGTGCACTAATCAAAAAGTACAGGAAATTGTATGGTACTAAGTGTCACTCTTTGTTGATATGCAATAAAAGTCATTGTTGTTGTTATTTATACATACTGGGGATTCGGTTCCCACTCATATCAGCCTAATTCAGGGTTTTCAAGACAGTAAATATTTACAGGAGCAAATATCTCTCCCTTAAATACAAAGGAAGTAAAGAGCAACAAGCCCTCATGATTAATAATTCCCAATTTAGTGCAGAGTGTCCAAACTTCAGTCATGCTTTTCTGTGTAATAATTTTTAAGGACCCCATTTTTCTATTTCATAGTAAGTGCTTTTATTTTTAAAATCAGTCAGCTATATCTCTGTCGGGTAGGGATGTCTCCATACTAGTCTCCATTCTGTCAGCCTATAGTATGAATTCAGGAGCAGAATAAGCTGTTTTAATCTATTTCTAGTTTACCCACCAGGCTCCCATACATTTAAGAACCAGCACTCTTGGGTAACCATTCACCGATTCAGTTTTTGCAGGTCACATTTTACTTTAATCTCTGACTGTCATCATGAAAGACCTTTACAAACTCTTCATTGCAAGGTGCACACTGTCTCCTCATAGTGGCTCTGTGCCTATAGTATTTCTCTAATCTGCTTGGCTAGCAGTTTGATCAAATAAAGAGATGTGAACTTTTTTTCTCCTTTGCCTGTCTGCTTAGACTGCTGACCCAGGTTTCTCTTTAAAACTCTGTTCTGATCATGTCATTCCCTTGCAGAAAATGTTCACTGTCTATCAAATTGCCTGAATAGGTGAGCAAGGTGAGAGTGCCCTGTGAGAGTTAAACTATGAGATAGGAAATATCTTGTTGGAATGTAGGACATACACTGGACTGCTAAACAGAAGGTCAGCAGTTCAAACCCACCAGTAGCTCCGAGAGAGAAACATGAGACTTTCTGCTCCCATAAAGATTTACAGACTTAGAACCCTCAATTTAGGGTTGCTATGCCTCAGAACCGACTCAACAGCAACAAGAAGAGTTGTGCCATTGGGTAGGATGTACAAAGCTGGTCAGTATAAACACAGAAAACCAAAGAGGAACAATTATCTTTAATGAGTTTAAGTACAATTGGAAAACCTTGAACAAAGATTCAAAATATCTTCCACCCAGGGGTAAAGCGCTAGCTACTACAGAAGTAGGTATACCAGAGTATTACAATTCAAAAGCAGTAAAGTTTTGGATCATGTTATTGTGTTTCAGCCTGAATATGTGATCACCTAGTATCTTTCTGAATGTAATTAGTTTTCTTTTCAGAGTTCATCTATCAGGAAAAATATGGGTGAGGATGCATGTTTCAGGATCTTAACTGTTTATATTTTTCACAGTGCAAATTAATAAATCGTACCTATATTTGCATATTAAACTATTATAAAGAAGTTCTTGTAAATTATTCTCTAATTACTTCATTTGTTGGAGTGCAGTAGCTCCATACAATAAGCATTAGATTCTGAACCACAAGGTCTGAGGTTCGAGCCCGACAACTGCTCCTTAGGAGAAATAGGAAGTTTTCTGCTCCCATGAACATTTAAAAGTCTCAGAAACTACACAGGCTCTTTTTGTTAGGCATTGGGCTGCTAATCACAAGATTAGCAGTTCAAATCCACCAGCCACTCTGCAGGAGAAAGATGAGGTTGTATACTCCGGTAAAGATTAACAGTCTCAAAACGCTTTTAGGATAACTGATTTGGAAACGATTTGATGGCAGTGTTGATTTGGCTGGTTTTAATTATCTCAATAAATAAGGAGTCCTGGTGTGGCATTGCAAGACAATGCACTGGATCACAAGGTAAGTTTGAACTGCAAGATCAATGGTTCAAACCTACCATGGAAACCATATACAGGGTCACTATGGGAAGGAATCAATTTAATGGCACTTAACAACAACAATATAACTTTTGGAGATATTTAAACATATACTGCTAATTTTTGTTTAAGCTTTTTTTTTTCTAATAGTGAAAATTTCATACAAGTAATAAATAGTAAACTGAAGAACAGTAACCGGTATTTACTTCTTTTGCGTTAATTGTAGTTTCTAACAACAGCATAAATTCTTACAACAATTCTATCTTTCATCCTTTGGCTCCCTTTCTCACATAGCCCAAGTTAAATAAAGTCAAGCTCATCTTTGATCTGGGCATAGTCTTATTATTTTCATAGTACTTGAATTTATCAATCAGCAGTTGCTCACAGTATTTCTGTGTTTTCCATACCTTGCAGTCTTTGCTTCTCTTACTTATGACTGGACTTGAAATTCTTGCTTCTCTCATGGGCTGCTGCGGGAACAAGCTCTTTATAAAGATGTAATGACCAGATGAATTTCGTAAGGTGTGATCAGCGGCTGGCTCTGTGCCTGCCGTGGAAATGCTACTAGCTTTCAGATTCCAGTCAAAGTCATCGTCCTGATCCTGCTCCCAGGAGCAAAGATCAAATTCAAAATCACAGCGTCCAGGAGAGGCACCTGAAAAACATTTCCAAATTTAGGGTAGAGAGAAAGCAGGAATTATCTGAGCTAAACATGCACTCCAAAATTAGTGATCATGGTATATCATGTAATATTTAAAGCCTCACAAAACTATCCTGAGAATGACACTTATTTATATAGGACATTTTATCTATCTTTATATGCTATTTCAATGGCTTAAGTTTGTTTGTCTACAAATGTAGTTCCAGTGTCAAAATCAATAAGAAAATGTTTCAGCATTATATACAATTCCTGTTGTAGTTATTTGGTCAATGCAGTTTATTTCTTCTCTTTTCTCATCTTTGTTTCTCAAGTCTTAGGAGGGAATTTAGGAAGATTACTATTCTGCAATAGAGTTTAGCTCGGAAAATGCAGTCTAAAAAATGTGTTGTTGTTGTTCTTAGACTCCAACTCATACTGACCCTATGCACAACAGAATTAAACAATGACGGATCCTGTGTCAACAACTGAAAAAGATGGCATAGCCATAATAAATATCTATGCTTCCAATGAAAGAGCTCCAAAATATATAAAGCAAATGCTAATAGATTTCAAGAAAGAAAAGAAATAGACAAATCTACAATAATAGTGCATGGTTTTAAGACACCACTTTCGAAAAAGGATAAAACAACAAAAAAGAAACTGGATAATGACACAGAGGAACTAAGGCACACAATCAGCCAACCGGACCTTATAGAGGTGTACAGGGCATTCAACCCAACAACAGCACAGTACACATTCTTTTCCAGAGCGCATGGAACATTCTCCAGAATAGACCACGTGTTAGGCCACAAAACAATCTCTATAAATTTACAAACATCAGAATACTACAAAGCATCTTCTCAAATCACAATGCTATCAAATTAGAAATTAACAATAGGAAGACCAAGGAAATCAAGTCAAATACATGGAAACTGAATAACACCCTGCTGAAAAGCGACTGGGTAGAAGAAATAAAACATGAATTCACAAAGTTCCTAAAAACAAATGAGTATGAAAACACAACATACCAATATCTTTGGTACACAACAAAAACAGTGCTGAGAGAACAATTTTTTGCAATAAATGCACACATCCAAAAAGAAGAAAGAATCAAATGAACACATTAAAACAACATCTCCAACAACGAGAAACAGGCCAGCAAAGTAAACCTACATTGCTGGTGGGAATGCAAAATGGTACAACCATTATGGAAAACAGTATGGTGCTTCCTCAGAAAGTTGTAAACAGAAATACCATATGATCCAACAATTCCTCTATTTGGTATATATCCACAAGAAATATAAGCCATAACATGAGTAGATATATGCACACCAATGTTCATAGCAGCAGTATTCACAATAGCAAAAAGATGGAGACAGTCTAAGTGCCCATCAATGGAAGAGTGGATAAACAAACTTTGGTATATACACACAATGGACTATTATGCTACCTTGAAGAATAACAAGGAAGCTTCAAGCCACCAAATAGCATGGATGAACCTTGAGGACATTATGCTCAGTGAAATTAGTCAGTCACAAAAGGACAAATATTGCATAAGACCATTACTGTAAAAGCTTAAGAAAAAATACCCATTAAAGAAGAGGGGAAAAATCTTTGTTGGTTACTGTTGTGAGTGTGGTGAAGGTATTTGGGGAAGGTGCGGGGAGGAGATAGTAAAGCACAGGGTAAGGGACAGACATATCATTGTTCAGGTGTTAGGGAGGGCAATACACAAGAAGGGGGAGCGGGTGGAAGAACAAGGTAGATAGGGGAACATTGAGACAGTTTTGCATGGGCTAAATGGGACAGAGGGAAATAGTGATGCATGCTCAAACTTGGAACAACAGGGTTCTGTGATACAGGAATCAAGGTATTGTCTGAAGAGCAGAAATAATACTAAGATACTTCACTGTCTTCTGAATATTGGTTTATCTTGCCTACTGTTGTAAAATAGACACTTGAGTGGGATGGAAAGGAATGTTGGCAAACATAATTAAAGAAGGCTTATAAGCCCATCTTCAGCCTATAACTGATTGGAATACCTAAAAGAGGTTCTAGAACTTGCCCAGTGAAATAGGCCTCTTGCGGAGCCTTTGCAGTGTATAGGACTGTAGGTGGAATCCTGAACTCCATTCAGAACCTTCTGAGGTAGGACATTCCCACTAAAAAGGACATGCAGACCAGTCTAGAACAGCTAGAGCAGCAGAAGATATACCTTCAAAGAAAGTTTAGCATAAAAACAAAACAAAACAAAAATGGCAGTTTGACTGGCTACTACAAGAATAAGCAAGTTGTTCACTAGGAAGCCATCAAGGCAAGCAATCAAGTCCCTTCAGGCCAAATCCCCCACTAAGACTTATACTCAAAGGAACCATATGAGCAGGAATGAAAGCTTGCTGATGACCACAATGGTCTACTGGTGAGTGGAAGAGGAAAAAAAGCAGCAATGGAGAAATGGGCTGAGTTCAGCTATGTTCCATGGACTCCCCTTGACCTGGAGATGAGAGAGAGAAGAGAAAGGGTTGGTGGTCCAAAGTATGGTGAGACCTAGAGACACCTGAGCCCATGGACAAGGACATAGCTACAGAGGGTTAGAGCTGAGAGTGAAGCATTCAGCTTATATGAAGTGAGGGGAGACATACACTAACACCCAAACTTGTAGATGGTACCCATTTGACCTAGCCTCGATGGCTTGGTGGTCAGAACTCAAATAGAGGAAGATGAAAACAACAATAACAAAAAGTATTTTATAAAGGAAAAGAGAGTAAATTGCTACATTTTAATGAACTTGACCTATAGTCATGGAGGTAATGTGTTAAAATTCCAACAGAGAGGGAATGGGTCTTCACATCAAGTATCAATGTTATCTGCTCTGTATACAGCATAGGGGGGCGATGAGGGCACAAACTGACTGGTTTACAAGGTTTACAAATGAGAGTTTAGTTTAAGAGTGTGAGGGGGAAGATAGAGTCCCCAGTGAATAGTTTTCATCTTGTCTAAATGGGTCTGGTGAAAAGAGATGGGGACAAGATTCTTACTATTCAATAGTGAGTAATTGTTATAATGACTAACTGAGACTGCTGCAATTGTAAAGGTAGACGTTTTGTAACAAAAATGGGGGAGTAATTAATCTTACAGTCCAGAAACAGAGGGCCCTGGGATCATCAAGGTGAGAAGAGCACAAGTGGAATGCGGGACCTTATCCAGAGAAACAGTGGCAGCATACATGGGAACATGGAGAGAGGCAGCAGCTGAAGACTTTAGATTTATGGAAAGAGGGGTAGAGGCTGGGATGCTGGGATGCAGGCTTGCAGAATGCACCCTTTGGTGGTTTAAATTATTACATATGCCTGTGTTAAAAAAAAAAAAAAAAAAAAAAGAGCTAATAAAAATAGAGAGAAATACTGTAAACTAATAGTACGGGGAGGGTATTATAATCATTGTAATGAACTAAAGTATATGATCTGCTTAATGTAAAAGTGATGATCTGCCCTGCAAACTATCATTCAATTCACAACAAAAACTTAAAAAAGAAAAAAATTAATAAATTTGACTTCATAAAAAAGCAAAAACAAAATATGTGTTGAAGAACAAAGAGGTCAGTTTGAGAACTAAGGTGCACCTGACCCAAGCCAGGTTATTTTTAATAACCTCATCTGCATGCCAAAGTTGAACAGTGAAGAACCGATGCATTTGAGTTATGGTGTTGGAGGAGAATACTGAAAGTATCATGGATTTACAAAGGAACAAGTAAATCTGTGTTGCAAGAAAGACAGCCAGAGTGCTCCTTGGAAGTCAGGATTGCCAGACTTTGCCTCTCATACTTTGGACATATTATCAGGAGCACACAGCCACTAGAAAAGGACATCATGTTTGGTAAAGTGGAGCATCGGAAAAAAGAGTAACAACCCAGGGAGATAGACTGGCACAGTGGCAGCAGCAATGGATTCAAATGTGGCAATTTCTGTGAGGTTGGCCCAGGATTGGGTAGTGTTTTGTTCTGTTGTGTATAGGGTAGCAAAGAGTTAGTAGCAACTCGATGGCACCTAAAAAGAAGAAGAAGAAGCTTTAGTAGTTGGTGCATAAATATGAAAATTAGTAGTATCAACTGGTTTTCCTTGTTGGCATATGTATATTATCCTATCACAGACAGCATTGTACTTCAAGATAGCTCTTGAAATGTTCTTTTTGATGATGAATATTTGTCATTAATCTACAATTTGTCTTTCTGTCATAGTTAACCCTATGATTGTCCAACATCAGTCATTTCAGCTCACAAATACCTAGCAGTCCTGTTGTGACACTGTAGTATAAACACTGAACTGCTAACCGCAAGACTGGCTGTTCAAACCCACAATCTGTTCCTTGGAAATGCTATATAGGGTGGCTATGAGTCAGAACCAACTTGACGGCACTTAACTACAATGCCTTGATTATTGCTCCTTATGTGTTCGGTTTCATTTTGACACCTCCAATCTCCAATATGCATACTTCAAAATTTCCATGTTCCAGTTAGTAGTAGACATTTCCAGCTGTTTCTTCTTCTACCTGAACAAGCTGTTTCTATAGCTACCTGAAATATTCATAGTAAATTATTAAATTAAAATTACTAGTAAGCATGTTATAAAACTAAATACTGTGTCATTACATGGTCATATCTTAGGAAATATATGTTTAGGATGGGCCTTTGCCCCTCATTCTTAAGCAAACCTATTACACCCACTGCCACCATGTAGATTCTGACATATTGAGACCCCAAAGGATAGAGCAGAACTGTTCCCCATGGTTTTTCAGACTATCAGTCACAGTAGAAGCAGACAGCTTCATTTTTTTCCCTCAGAGTGTCTGGTGGGTTTAAACTGACAACTTTGAGATTAGCAGCCTAATGCATGGTATAGCATAAATCCAATGAGTGATGAATTTGATCATAAGTAGTAAAATGCACTACTTATAAATCTTTGATTACAATAAATCTTTATTATGTTCTGCTTGAACTTATAGATAAAACATTAAAA